AATGATGTAATATCTGATGAAGAGTTCAAAGCTGTCAGAAATGAATATTTTTCAGATATTAAAAAAGCTAAAACAGACTGCTGGAATAAATTTCTGGAAGAAGCATAAGAGAAGAAAGTTTTTAAAGCTTTTAACTATACTAAAACAAGAAGTGTAGCAAAACTTCCAATCTTAGAATATGAGTTTCAGAATGAATCATATACAGCAAACTCTTTTGAGAAAAAATATCAAGCTTTTATGAGAACTCTCTTTCAATACTCATCAGATTCAGATTCAGAGAAAGAGAATATATCACTTCTTAACTATATTGATGAAAATGACTGGGAATGGCCTGATCTTACTCAAGATGAATTAGAGTCAGCTATTTTCTCAAGTTCAGTTAAGACTGCTGCAGGGCCTGATTCAATTAATCACTTGATTATTCAAAATACATACTCCTACTTAAAGAATGAATATTTTGAGCTCTTTTTCAATCTCTTGAAGAATGGATATCATTCTGAATGCTGGAGAGAAGCCACTGAAGTGATTCTTGCAAAGCCTAATAGAAAAACTTCAATTTCTAAGTCATACAGAGTAATATCTCTATTGAACTGTCTAGGAAAGATTTTAGAAAAGATAATAGCTACTCAACTATCTTTTATAAGCTCTGTCAGTAATTCTCTTTTATTCAGTGAACAAATGAGGGGTAGAAAACAGTGTTCTACAATTAACACTGTTCTCTCAGTTGTTCATGATATTTAAATAGCAAAGCATGAAGATCTGGTCTCAACTGCAGTTTTTATTGATATAAAAGAAGCATTTGATCATGTTTCAAAGTCAAAGCTAATTCAGACATTGAAGATGTTAAAACTGCCACTTTCTCTAATAAAATGAGTTAACTGTTTTATGTCTAAAAGAATTATACAACTTTTCTTTGATGGAATGAAACAAGACAAGACTGAGATAAAAATAGAAGTATCACAAGAATCTTCAATCTCATCTGTTTTATTTGCAATATACACTGCATATCTATTCAAGAATAGAAATATGAGCATAGTGAGATCTCTGAGTTATATGAATGATATTGATCTAGTCTACAGCTCAAAAACTATTAAAGAGAATTTGAAAGTGATTGAAGAAGCTGTAAAGGAAATCTTTGTTAGAGCAGATATCAATCAAATTCAATTTGATAGGAATAAAACTGAGTTAATTCATTTCTTTTCTAGATTCAATGAGAAAGAACTGTCTCTATATCTTTTAAATAGAGAGATTAAACCCAGTGTAAATGTCAAATGATTAGAAGTATGATTAAACTCCAAGTTGAACTTTAAATATCACATTCAACAAAGAACTGTCAAGACAGAAAGACTATTGAACAACATAATCAGACTATCAAATACAGAGAGAGGTCTATTCTTTCAGACTATGAGACAGTTATATATAGCCTGTATTACATCAGTAGCTGATTATGAAGTTCAAGTTTGATGAAATAATTAAGGAAATTTCACTGAACTCTTTCAAAGTCTGTAAAACAGAGCCTTGAGAAGAATTCTGAAAGTATTCAAATCATCTTCTATTAAAGCAATGAAAATTGAAGCTTCAATTCCTTCTCCTGCTATTAGATTTGAAAAGGCCTGTATGAACTATGCTCTGAGAGTTATAAAGATGAGCTCAAATCATATAATCAGAGAAAGAGTCTCATCTTCATTTTCATCAATTAACTCTGGAAATGAACTGAATTGGAATAGATTTCTTGATTGGAATGAAAATGATTCTTCAAAGAAAATGTCTTCTCAACTTTACAGACTATACTCTCTAATTAAAAATCAATTTTCTTCTTTAAATGTTGAAAAAGTGGATCATGAGAAGTTATCTCTCTGGAGAGAAAAGCTTGAATCTCTTATAGACTTACAAATAAGTGAACTATCAAAAGAGAAAGAATGTGAACAGCATTTGAAGAGAATTTCTACAATCAATATAAAAGACTCTATTCTGATTTATTTAGATGGCTTAAAGAATGAGAATCTGAATAGATTAGGCACAGGCATTGCTTATACTGAAGATAATATTAATTTTATCTCAGATTTCTGGAATCTAGACTGTGAATCTGAAGTCTTTGATGCTGAACTATTTGCAATAGTGAAAGCTTTCAAACTCATAAAAATAAAATCTCATAAAGAAGGAAATAGTTTGAAAGAGGCATGAATATTCTCTGATAGTCAAGCTGCTTTAAAAAGACTTAGAAATAGTCAGATTCATAATGATCAAGTGAATCTTGAACTGATCTTAAACTCTGTTTTGAAAATTCAAAAGAGAAGAATATCAAAGCTGATAATTCATTTGCACTGAGTTTCTACTCATATGAATATTCATGACAATGAATTGACTGATTCAGCTGTAAAAAAGAGTGCAGAATTAAGCAGATCTATTCAAAAGTTATGTTCTGATCTTTTATAAAGAGAAAAATAAAAGAATCTTGTTTAGATAAGTGAAATGAAAGCTGGTAAAAACAAAAGAAGAGTATACATTATTCAAGATTTGACACAAAACCCAAGTGAAAATCCTGTTTAATTAAATGTAAAAAGAAAATATTCTCATCTATAATAGATCTGAAACTAGGACATGGCTATTTCAAATCTTATATATAAAGATTTGATGATAGATTTGACTCAATAGAATGCTCATTCTGCAATGTAAATGAGAATTCTGAGCATATTGTAATGCACTGTGCATTATACAATAGTCTCAGAGTCAGATTGAAAGAGAAGTATGATCTAAATCAATTAAATATGAGATTCTTATTCTCAACTGAGACAGGAATTAAATACTTAATAGACTTTCTATCAGAAACTCAAGCAGCTATAAGAAAATGACTAAATTCAGAATTATCTGAATATGAAGAGGAGAAAATCAATCAGATATAGTCTGTTAAAACAGTTATATACTATCTTTTAATAATTTGTTTTGTTACAGTCTCTCTTTACTTTATCTTTTCTCTTCAATTTCTTTCTATCTATCTATTTAATGTGTCTATCTTTAAGACTGTGTTCTATTTCTCTTTTTCTTTGTCATGATATTGTCAAATGATTTCAAAGTATCAGAAGATGTTAAAATACTGCAATTTGTAAACAGTTTTTATATTCTTAGCTGGAATTTTCTGATTTTGCATATCTGAAATTGATGAATGTATAATAGTTAACTTTACAGATATAGGAAAAACTCTGAGAACTAAAATTTCTCAGATAGATGTCATAGTCTCTGACTGCTAGACTGACTGTGTGACCGTATCTGAGATCAGAATCAAACTTTACAGTTGTCACATTGTCTAAAAGTATTACTTCTGATTATGATTTGTGTTCATCACATTGATCTCAAATCACATTATTTCAAATATTAAAGGTCTCAGATTCACTTTTCAAATAAAAATCTAGTCTTAGATAAAGAATATATTTAAATTCTTAATCACATTTTCATTCTGATCTCATTATTGAGAATGGTATTAAATGAGACTATGAAATCATTTCTCACTTACATAATATCATAACATAGTACTCATTTGTTGAAAATTTCATAGAGAGTATTATCAAATATTATTACTTTTCTGAATACAGATTATAATTTATATAATTTTAATTATGAAAAAAACATAAAATATAAAAAAAAAATAAAAAACAAAAAACAAAACAAATACAAGAAAAAATCACAATAAAAAAAAAAAATAAAACAAAAAGAAAAAAATAAAAAATAAAAACAAAAAAAAATCAAGATTGCGAAGTCACAGCATTCTTAAAATACTTACTTCTCAGAATCTTTACAATGTTTATCATCAAGTGTGTATTTCTCACAGTGAGAGTAACACAGCTGTAATGAGTCGTTGTCTTAATACTATCTAACAAATAATCAGTATATATCTGTATAAATGTGAATAATTAGAAAATATACACTTAAAAAGTGTGATTAGAGTGAACTCTGCTATCACTTAAATGATATCAAGAGTAGAATGCTGGAATTGATGATTCTCTTCATTAATTTCACAGACAAGGCATGTGAAGATGATCTTGAGAAATATATGATTCTTTGACTTCTGATAAAAACAGATCTTATAGAGAGACTCTATTTTCATAATATCAGAGACTGAGTATTATTAAAAAGTGTTACTTTTATGCAATGCATATGCACTTACTGCAGTGATTCACTCTCTATGTATGTGACTGAGAGTTACAGTTTTCTCATGTGACACAGCTCGCTCTGAGATACTGCTGTCAGTTTGCAACTCATGCAGTCTCTCAGTTCAGTACACACTGTGTGTATACAGTTCTGCATGCTGAGACTGTGTTGATTATTATGACCTGATGTGATACTCACTTTTCATGAGTCATATTTCATTTGAGAGAGAAGAGAAAGACACAACTGTTGTTTTATTAAGAGAGAAATGAATAATTAGTATTATTGAATATAATTTAATTCATCTATATTTAAAATTTGATTAGTCTATACTCTTCAATTTGAGGGTTTCTATAAGTGTTTTAATAGTTTTCATACCAGCTTGAACTTAGTGATGGATTGAAGAAGAAGAGAAAAGAGAGAAGAAAGAAATAAGAATAACTTATCTTTATAATATGAAAACAGAGAATTGCTGCAATCATTCTCTCTAACAATAAAGATCTGTTTTCTGCATGTATCTCTGATATAGATTATATGATAAATGTATATAAAGAATATTAATAGTGCATGCATTAAATGAAGATAATATTTTTATACAACACTGTAGCTGTTTCTGTACATCTCTGAAAGCTGTTAATAGTTTCTTTGTCTCTTTATATTTGATAAGTCAATAATATATTTCAATGCACTTCTCATTTCATCATCATCATCATCATCATCATCATTATCATTATTATTATCATTATCATTATCATCATCATTACTATTATCATCATCATTATCATTATCATCATTATTATTATTATTATATTATTGCCTGTCTTCACTTCTCTCTTCAACACTTATCAAAACCAATCATGTCATCTCTCTTCAAATATTCTGCGGTTCTGCGGACTATCAAGGCGCGTGAGCACTGTCACAGCTTGAAGAAAGAGAAGAAGAAGATGTTCAAGCACAGAGAGACAGATTACAAGACATGTTATAATACCTTGAAGAGACTCTGTAAGAAAGTAAAATAATAACAATTTTAAGTAATACTTCTGATAGATTTAGACTGAACTAAGTATAGAAATAATGCAGATAATACTGTCTGTGAGAGATTGAAAAAGAAGATAGTGAAGAGTCTCATACAGCAGCAGTGAGATCAGAAGAAGTTCTGAGAATGATTTGAGATCAAGATAAAAAGAGAGAGAGAGAAGAAGAGTGTTACTGTAAATAAGTGATGATAGAAGAAGATTGAGAAGATATTAAAGTGAGAGATAAAGAAGTCAAAACTGGTAAGTTTTTTATTGAGAGATAATGATTTTTGATAACACTTCTGTTCTCTAATTAATTAGCAGAAGCTGGCAGAGAAGATAATTAAGGTCTTGTTCAGATCTTGAATACACTTCATAATTCAGAACATTGAGAAGACAGCTCTGCTCTCAGAGCATGTTAATCTACTTATCACTGAGATGAAACCTGAGACAGCAGATCAGAAAATGCAGGATTTTGAGATGCAGATTAACCTGACTGAGAAGAAGCAGTGAGAACTCTTCTCTGAGAAGGCAGCAGAGAGAGATTTTAAGATGATTATTATCTCAGATGAGAAGAAGAAGAAGAAGAATGAGAATAAGAAGTGAATTATAAAGAATGATAAGAAGAATGAGAAAGAGAAGATAGATAATAAGTAGAAAAAGTTTTTTTCTTTTTATATTAGTTAGTTATAAGTTCATAACTATTAGTTAATAATTGAAATTAATTTTGAGTTTTCAAAAATTATTGTACAAGTTGTAATCAATTATTAATGTCAGGAATAATATATATATATATATTCAACTATCATGTCACTATAATATATAAGTATCAACATTTTTTCAACATTGATATTTACAATATTAATATATTTTTAATGATATTATCTGATAATGCAATTTGATAACACTTTCTTTCATAATATTAATATATTTCAAGAAATATGACAGAGATTAATCAAGATTATTTATTTACTTTTATACATTGATAATATTCAATCTGAGTTAGTACTAAAAATATAACTAAGCTAAGAAAGAAGATTATTATCTCTTATATTAATTCTTCTTACATACATCAGTGATCAGGTATTAAAAATAAATTATCATCTTTCTCAAATTATTATTATATCTTCTGAATTCACTTCTTTCACTTCTTTTACTTCTATTGAAGATTTATAAACTCTTTAAGAAATCACTATGAATTACAAAGTCTATGTTATTTACAATTCAACACAGAATACTCTCTTTCAATTATAATAAATAATCACTTCATTCTTCACATTTGATTTCAGGTCATAAAATTTATGAAAAACTCAACATAAACACTGAGATGAACTATGAAATAATTATTAACAGATTACATTGCAGATTACTGAAGAGTCATCTCTCTGCTACAATTACTGTAACTTTATTCAGAAATATTTATCATAAACTGATCATGATTCTGAAGAAATTTTCTGACACCTGAAGTCATCAGAATGCAGACAATAAAAGAAAAATAATCAGAAAATTACTACTGAGCTGATAAGTTACTCTATCAGATAATGATTTTTGATAACACTAACTTTCTAATTTGAAGAAAATTATGTGAAAATGATCATATATCAGTACTCTGATTTCACAACTCTCATCTGATAACTTCTGTGAATAATTACTTTGCATGTATATATCTCTGAATCTTTCTCCTTGATCAATTGAAAACCTCAAATTTCAAACACTTCTTCAAATGCTTAATTCAAATCTTCATATTCTATATCAATTCTGTCTTCAGTCCAACCTCAAGACATACTACAAAGTCAATATATAATATCTAGAATCAGAGTTGAAGAATCATTGAAGAGTGTCTCTCACAGTGAATGCATGAACTAGTACAAACAATCTTGTATTTATAAGAGTTACATGTTATTACATTGATGAGAACTGAACTTATTAAGAGATATTAATTGAATTTGAATCATTGATCAGTAGTCATACTAAGAATTATATGACAGAGATATTAATAACTGTGATTAAAAATGACTATTGAGATATTAGTCTCAGTCTTCTTATAATTACAACTGACAATGCTGTGAATAACTACACTATGATGAACAGCTTGAAGCAAAAATTGACTTTGCATTTCTGAAATAGTAAACAAGGTCATATTCTCTGCATTGCTCATGTGGTTTAACTTGTGATGTAAACACTGATAAGGAATCTTAACATTGAGATGAAGAATAATGAGATAACTGATTCTTGAGATGAGAATGAGATGAAAGTGATTACTCAAGTAACTTTTGCATTCACTTTGCAAAAGATAATGTTTTTTGATAACACTTTTTAATATTACTTTTTGATAATGCTTTTTAATAATGCTACTATTAATTTTGAATAAATTGACTAATAATTTAAATATCACAGATTTAAAACATTGCTAATGTGATTTGTATCTTCTCTAAATAATAATAATAATTTCATGATATTCAATAAATAAACAAATCAGTCACATCACTGAATATGATACATAATATTAGAACACAGTGAAGTTTAATATATAAGATAACTATTTAAGCTCTTCAATTGTATTAGATAATTAATCATTGAATACAACACTCTGATTGAGAAAAGATTCAGACATTGAAACTTTCTGATATGAAGTGAACTCAGTTGAAATATATAATTGATTTACTGTTTCAGTTTTATAAGATAATAAAGACAGTTTCAATCACTTGTACATCAATACTGCAGTCAGTCTGATGAGTGTATAACAGTTTATTTACTTATCTTGAGAAGCAGTTGAATCACTCAAAAAGAAATTCAGTCTGAAATAATGCTATAGTACAGGCTATTATTGCTGTAAGAAATAAACTGGTATAATACTACAGTAAAACTGAACAATCTTTTGCAGAGTACTATACTATAGCAGCTCTACTAGATCTCTCTTATTGAGTTAATATTTACACTTCTCAAGATTGAACACAGAAGAAATGAGACTCATATGTCAAATTAGTCTGAGACTACTACAATGTTAACTATCAGAGATTTGAATAAACAGATGTTCAAGATGTGAAGACAGTGAAATACAATTCTCTGATAAGTAATAATCTTTGATAATGCTTCATATTTCATAGAACTATAATACTAACTTTGAAACAGAACTTGTATACATTGATTACAATCAAAAATCAGATAAAACTACATACTTATAAAACTAAATTTCATCACTATCTTTAAGATAATCTGATGAATTTATGTGCTAAATCAATTGTAGAGTTATAAAAAATTGTTGAGAGTATATATTCAACTGTTACACTGATGATATGTAATATTCTGACAATTTCATTGATAGAGATGAAAATGAAGTGAAAGTTCAACTCAAGTCAAGATATTTATCACTATCACTGAGAACAATTACAAGAAGAAACAATCAAGAAACTCATAATTATAAAATATGAAATTATCAGACAGTTTAATATCTCTGATCACAGTATATCAGAGAAGTGTAGTTTTCATGAGAAAGTAAAGAATAAACTTGTATAAGAATGTATTTAGTTATTTCATAAGTGTTATCAATAATTGTTATTAAATTCTGATTATATAAGCAATCACTGAATGAACTGAATAGAACTGATTTTGATCTTCAGTCTCAGTCTCATTCTGATTTTGAAAGAATGATCATCTTTCACAGTTTATTCTGAGAAATTACTCTCATTTCACTGTTTTTGAATTAAATCTGATCATTTTTCATGCCATTTCTCTCAGAAATGATTCATTTTCAGATTTTTTTGAGACTTGATTCTGATGAGACTCACATCAAGAAATGTATAAGATCAGATTAAATGAGATCAAACGTGAAATTCATAGTCTCACTGGCCAGTCTACTGACTGCATACATCTATAATTGAAGAATAATAATAATAATAACATAATATTATAACATAGTGCTCATTTGTTGAAAATTCAATAGAGAGTGTTATTAAATATCATTACTTTTCTGAACACAGATCATAATTCATATAATTTTAATTATGAAAAAAACATAAAATATAAAAAAAAACCAAAAATAAAAAACAAAACAAATACAAGAAAAAATCACAATAAAAAAAAATAAAAGAAAAAGAAAAAAAATAAAAAAAAAATATAAAAAAAATCAAGGTCACAGAGCTGCAGTATTCTTAAAATACTTACTGCTCAGAGTCTTTGCAATGTTTATTATTAACTGTGTATCTCTCACAGTGAGAGTAACACAGCTGTGATGAGTCATTGTCTTAATATCATCTAATAAATAATCAGTATATATCTGTATAAATGTGAATAGTTAGAAAACATACACTTAAAAAGTATAATCAGAGTGAACTCTGCTATCACTTGAATAATATCAAGAGCAGAATACTGAAATCAATGATTTCTCTCATTGATTTCATGAATAAGGCATACAAAGATAATCTTGAGAAATATAAGATTTCTCAACTTCTGATAAAAACAGATCTTACAAAGAGACTCTATTTTCATAATATCAGAGACTGAGTATTATTAAAAAGTGTTACTTTCATGCAATGCATATGTACTTACTGCAGTGATTCACTCTCTGTGCATGTAACTAAGAGTTACAGCTTTCTCACACTGCACAGCTCTCTCTGAGATACTGCTGTTAATTTATAACTCATACAGTCTCTCAGTTCAGCATGCACTGTGTGTATACAGTTCTGCATGCTGAGACTGTGTGATCATTATGACCTGATATGATACTTGCTTTTCACAAGCCATGTTTCATTTGAGAGAGGAAAGAAAGACATGACTGTTGTTTTATTAAGAAAGAAATGAATAATTAGTATTATTGAATATAATTTAATTCATCTGTATTTAAAATTTAATTAATCTATATTCTTTAATTTGAGGATTTCTATGAGTCTTTTAATAGTTTTCATATCAGCTTGAACTTAGTGATGAGTTGAAGAAGAAGAGAAAAGAGAGAAGAAAGAAATGAGAATAACTTATCTTTATAATATGAAAACAGAGAATTGCTGTAATCATTCTCTCTAACAATAAAGATCTGTTTTCTGCATGTATCTCTGATATAGATTATATGATAAATACATATAAAGAATACTAATAGTGTATGTATTAAATGAAGATAATATTACTATGTAATACTGTAGCTGTTTCTGTACATCTCTGAAAGCTGTTAATAGTTTCTTTATCTCTTTATATTTGATAAGTCAATAATATATTTCAATGCACTTCTTATTTCATTATTATCATTATTATTATCATCATTATCATCATTATTATTATTATTATCATTATCATCATTATCATCATTATTATTATTATTATCATCATCATTATTATCATTATTATTATTATTATTATATCATTGCCTGTCTTCACTCTCTCTTTCAATACTTATTAAAATTAATCATGTTATCTCTCTTCAAATATTCTGTGATTCTGTGAACTATCAAGGCGCGTGAGCACTGTCACAGATTGAAGAGAGAGAAGAAGAAGGCATTCAAGTATAAAGAGACATATCACAAGACACATTATAATGCCTTAAAGAGGCTTTATAAGAGAGTAGAATAATAACAATTTTAAGTAATACTTCTAATAGATTTAGACTGAACTAAGTA